GGCCCTATGAAGAGGACAAGAGCAAACTGCAGGTCTTAGCTCCAGGAGGATGATGTGATACCGACACAATAGCGAGTAAAACACAAAGCTCAGACCCGGCTGTCTGCAGATAGCCTTGAATGTGTTGTAAAGTCTTGAAAACAACTTTTTCAAACATCTGCCACATGTATTAGGCTGATCACTCCCCTGGGTAGCCATTTTAATCTTTAACCATCAAGCCAGTGGGTGGTTGTCCCCGACTTCCATTGTGAACAGAGGACTGGGACGTCACCACACATCCATTTTTAACAACAGGTTTACCGGTGGAGATCCTTTCCACAGTTAGGTAATGAAATGACCTGAGCAGATGTTTTTTCTCTGATTATTGTCCAAAGTTCCTGCCGTAGAATTTCTCATTTCCCACCGGAACTCTGGGGCCAGTTTATACCTTTAACTCTAAGGTTCTGGTGCTGCTCTGATTCAAAGAGCAGCAAGGTTTACAAATGGGAGGAGTTGATTATTTAATTCTGAATAGATGAAGACTGCTTCTTGGACATCCAGCCCATGCCACTCTTTATCTTCCTCGTGTTGATTTTGTTTCGCTCCACAGGAGGCAGAAGTGAGCCGGGTCAGGAGGACGGTTAACGAGTCGAAGACCAGCTGCCTGCTCCACCTCCACACTGATCACCTCTACTACAAGAGGTTCAAGACTGTAGAAGCCGTTGTGGCTCAGGTGAGCCTTCAACTGTATTGAAACATTTACGTTTCAGAACTTTATTTAACGGGTTTTGCTGATTTTCAGATATGAAGTGTTTATGTTACCAGGAAGAATGAGACAAACACAAACGTGACAGAGGTTTACATTTCCCCTCTCTGTTGTTAAAAATAGAGCTTGCACAATAGACTTACAAGTTCTTTTTAAAATAAAACGTCAAGGGGAACATATTGTTCAGTTTACGATGCAGTCACAATGGATCAGACCTAAAGATTCCAGCTTCTTTGGCTGACCTCAGCACACTTCATGTTTTTACATTTAACTCTCCAATACAATTTCATGTGTTTTGTCTTCGGATTAAAATCCTAAACAATCCTAAACAATTTTTCCAATAATTCAGTTTTTTCTTTGATAAATGGTCCTTAAATATTGCAGAGATTTTTAAGTTTTTCATCTTTGACTCCCATTAAGAATCGCAGTCATCATTAACAGAACCATCCTCTGCTGAACCTAGATGCAGCCCTGAATAAACAGCTGTTATGTTGCTGCACAAAGCAGAACATCTGGAGGACATGGTGTTCTATAGAGCGCAGGCTCTGAGCCAGATGCCGTGAATGTGGATCAATTGCCTCAATGTCAAGTTTCAGACATTGGATTGGTCAATAGATGGTTGTTCTGGAGTAAATGATAATAATAATAAACTGTTCAGGACATTTTGTGACTTGCTAGTGTCTGTGAACTGTGAGGGAACTCAAAACCCGTGGCCCTCGTGTAATAAGTCAGAGACAGAGCGTTTGTTGGTAAAAGCTGAACAGTTCTGCAGCCATCATAGCGACAGGTGCAAAGTGCTTAATGCATTTCTTCTGAACAGTTTAACCCTCAGGCTTCACTTTAATTTACTATACGTTTGAGTTTTTAGAGGACAAAAACGTCCATTCAAATCATCGTTTTTGATCCTGTAACATCTGCAACAAATATCATGCTTTCTGTGATATTAGGGTTTCATTTTGAAGAAAAGTAGTCAAAATTACGATTTCACTTTTCACCACAAAATTCAGTTATGTCTCCATGTGTGGCCCGTGCGTGAAACTACACATTTCTTTAGATCTTCTGCTGTTTGTATTGAAATCCAAAGGTCAAACTAACCTCTGATAAGAAGATAAAACCTAGTTTGACTCTTACTGAACTTCAAAGGGCAGAAAACAAAAACAGTTAGTATGTTTATGCACCTGTCTGGAGCTCCAGCCAGGTTCAAGCTTGGATGGTAAATTGAGTTTTTTGCTGTGTCATTTTGACATTATGGTGCAGTTAATAGCATGAGAGTTTTTAATCATCCAAAAATGTGTTTGAACATGAATTTTGTTTAACAGTCTGAGAAAAATCCAAGCTGATGGGTTTTAATACAGGTAATTTGACAATGGATAAGTCCAAAGCCATGCAAACAACAATTTGTTTTTGGAGTTCATTGAAGATATTTGTTAGCTAAACATTCTTCCCTGGGGAAAAAAGTTAATTTCAGTCGTTAAAATCCCCAAATTAACCTGGCTACTCAAAGTAGCAACCTGGTAATGTGTAAATCAGACAGACCATCCCCTTGGTTTGTGTGGCCATGCTGTTGTTTCTCCACTCATCCCCTCCTTCACCACCTTGAAGGCCATCTTTCATTTTAAACATGTTGAAGTGCTTATATAGTAAAAGGTCTACACACAAACACAAACACACACACACACACACACACACACACACACACACACACACAGTATAAAGTACGTGATGCTGTGACGTGATCATAGGGTATAAATAAACAAAGATCTGTTGTTGGTCAGTTCTGACCCAGTTCAGGTTTTTGAACCCGAGATGTTTGTATTTAGATTCATGGAACTCCTCCAGCACCATCCTCACCTGCTGGATTTCCACTGCTGCATGTAACTTGTTGACACATGGAACATAAAGAACGTATCTAATTTACCTCAGAGATGTCTTACAACCTTCTGCTGGCTCCGATGACTTTCCAGAAGATCAGGATCAGCCGCTGCTGACATTTGTCCTTTGTTGTCCTCAGGTTGCCTCGTACCTGCGGGCTGTGAACGACATCTTCGACAAGGTTGATTTTGATGGAATCAAGCTGATCAACTTTAAAGTTAAATCCCTCCGTGTAAGAGCCTTATGCAGCTGAACAGAATAATTGCCTAAAATCTCAGGGTGATGTATCAAACCATCACAGTTACTCTGACTTCCACGTGTGGACATTTAGTGTAATCAGTGAAAAGCATCATTTATGAACATCTGTTTCTGGGGGACTTTCTCAGAATTGTGGGAAATTCATTTTGTTTTACTCTCTGTTTAGGTGATGACTAGGGAGGACACGAATGATCCATTGACTCCTTTGTACATCGGACCTGAGAAGTTGTTGAGTCTGTTTTCAGAGCAAAACTGGGGCAACTTCTGTCTGTCCTACCTGCTCACTAACAGAGACTACAGTGGAGTTCTGGGCCTGGCGTGGGAGGGCAAGACAAGTGAGTCACAAGACAAACACCAAACAGGCGGTAGTTTGCAAAGAAGCTGAATGTGATTGGTAAAGGCCGTCAAATTTCTCTTCTAGGGCATTACTGATTCTACTTTAAGTTGCATTATTAAATAAAATCCACCAATGATTGTAAATATATCCCAAATATGATTTCAGTTTAAAAAGAAAATGTAGTTAATCTTTCTGATCTCGTAGTAAAAACGTATGAACTACAGTGTCTAGTTTATTCAGGTTAACGACCATCTTATCAAACACGTTTTTAAATCCGTCTAATGTCATTAAGACTTTTCTTTACTGGTGACACTGTTTGCAGGATGTCTTTTAAGCACGTCACGTTGGGCAAATGATGTATGAAACAAAAGACACATTTTCTTTTGCCATAATTACGTCTCAGTGGGTTTCCAATCCAGGGCAGCTGTGGCTACATCATAGCTCATCCCCACCAGGGTGTGAATGTGTGAATTACTGATTGTGTTGTAAAGCACCTTGGGGGGTTCCAGGCCTCTAGAAGGCGCTATATCCAATACAGAAAAAGGGGAAAAAAGTTATTTTTGCTATAACATGTTTAAATTTTGTTACAATCTTTATTTAAAAAGTAAATGTCAGTGTTAGTTTCTACACAAGAATAAACTCAACAGGCGTTGAGTTGGATAAAAATAAAAATAAATGTTCATTCACTAATAGTTTCTATTGGTTTCGACTTTAATTAATTCCTGTTTCACCAAATGTACCTGAAGAAGTTCAACGTGTTCAATGACCTAAATACACAAAGTGGGCAAAAACAAGTGTTAAGCAATCATTGTAACCTGTGTGTGTGTGTGTGTGTGTGTGTGTGTGTGTGTGTGTGTGTGTGTGTGTGTGTGTGTGTGTGTGTGTGTGTTATTTATTTGGGAACTGTTTTAGTAGGTCTTTCCTGCTTCTTTCAGTGACAATGTCCCACATGCAGCTTTGGATTGTCAGAAGGCGGGGGGGGGCAGTTTGCCACTGTGACTCAGGATTAGTGACAACCTGTAACACACACATGCACGAACATGTGCATGAACACACATGATCATGCTCCTGGGATAGTGTGAATTGTTGGCTGCATTCCACAACATGGTTGACATGGTGAAATCTTGTGTGATGGACAGCCACACACACACACACACACAAACACACTGTGGATAAAGTGTTGTTTTGGATGTTGGGGCATTTCATTCTCACGCTATTAGATAATGTTTGACCTCCAGAGACAGATGCACTCTAGCCCTGCATCTCCACTCAGTCCAGTTTAAACAGCAAAACCATAAACTTCAGGACCTCTATACATCCAACAGAGACATAAGAAAACGCCACTTTCGCACGTACACATTTACAGCCCCATCAGCCGCATCAAACAACCCTCAGGAGTCCTTCATTGGCACATCAGCTTTAATTTAACAAAAAAATGTTTTAATTACAAGTTTCAGCTTTGAGAAGCTTCATTTTTGTTTTTATAAACAAAAATTCTGAGTATCACGATTTAAAAAAAATGTTGCATTCCAGCGTCCCACCCATGGGACAAAACACATTACAGTCATGTGAACTGGATTTTTAAGAGAATAAATAAAATGTCTGTTGCAAAGGTAATTCATAATTCATATGTAACAGTTAGGCATAAGATCAAGCCCATTTGCATTGACCGTATTTCTCAAACCCTTTACTCTGCCTACAGCAATGCAGACCGAAGCTTCTATACCTTGAGTTTCTCAGAAGTTGTTTGCAGAATTGTTTGCAGGCTTTGTCAGCTGTTTCCTGTTCACTCATGAACTACACAGCAGGAGGTATTCCCTGTAAATGCATTGTCACTGCTGGAAGTAAAATAGGAAGGAAGAAATCACACAAACAGTGGAAATTGTGTTATTTTGTTTAAAGCACACTACAACAAGTAGAATCAACTTTTTGGTCATCCTTAAAGCTGTTATGGCGAATCTGCAATCAAGCTAGGTTTTGAATGCAAACACGGCCACGGGACACCCACCCCTTCCCTCGGATATCTTCCCTGAGACCTTTCTGCCGGAACCGGAAACTGCATTTCCGGAGGATACGAGAGGGAGCTAAAACCAGGCTTCAAACGGTGACTCCGGTAGTTTGTCCTAAAGTTAAAGTGGTAGCAGCTGGCTGTTTCTCCTTCTCTGGTATTATTGAGCGGAGAACCTCTCACACCTGTTCTGTTGTAAATAAGTGTTCTGGTACTAAATAAGTGAGAGTTTAATGAATGGAGGACCCAGGGAAGTGTGTCGGTTTGGTAAGACAGACAACCAGATGGTCCAGTAGTTGACTTTGGTCAGTGTCGTGTGATTGGCTGAGGGTTTCAGACAATTTTGAGAGAACTACTTTATTGACCCTTTGCACCTACATCACCTAATCAACTAGTTCAAGCCCAATTCAGTGATCAGAAGAAGTAGCACACCTAGGTGGGGCTCTCAGAGAGCGGTATTTACAAAAGTTACAAACATTAGCTTACGTTCTCCCTGCTGCTATTCACCGATGTAAACAAGCTGCCGACGTTGCCAGAATTCACCCTGCTGGATTTATAACTTTATGTGATAAACAGCGTTTCACTTTAAACTGGAACTTATTAAAAAATAAATAAAAAGAAATTTGGATCCCTACCAATTTTTAATTGCTGGTGGGGTCATCGAGTTCAGATGCTACTCTCTCACCTGAATGGGACAAGATGTCTTTTAAAGGCAACACTCCTATCATACTACATAAACAACGTAAGTTTAACACATATAATCCTACATTGGGACAATTTTATCGTAAACTATTATTTCGCATTTTCTTGGGCCGGTATGTGCTAAGACAACCCTTTACAAGGTTAATGAAATGTCACTCAGACCCCTACCACCCCATGTGGCCAGAATAACGCACTTGCAACTTCAGACTGGCAGGCCGCCACCTGCTTCAGCCTGCTTCCTTAGATCATGAACACAGCTGATTTGTTTAATTTAGTGATGAATCACTCCTGTAGACACTAATGAAGGCTGAGGAGATATTTCAGCTGTTAGATAAAGAAGCATGAAAAAAAAATTTTTTAAGGTAAATATTTTTTGCAAATTTGTTTTTAACAATCGTTTTTGGATGTTTTCAGCAGTCTTTTATTCTTGTCTGGAAAGGCAGTTCCCCTATATTAATGGCGCAGTATAAACAAAAACAGAAAAAAGAAGACTTTTTATTTCATGATAGTCACTCCACCACACAATAAAGGAAAACATAGTGATTACTGCTAATTTACTCTTCTTTCTGATGTTGGAAGTTTAATTTACATTTAACTGAGTGACTTTTTTTCTTTAAAGGTCAAAAGCAGGATGCAAGGGGAGAAAATCATCCTGAATACTTTCTAAATCCGACTTTTTGTTGATAACGATCACAAACAGTTTAACTTATTTTCACATGTGCTTCATCTAAAGTCTGACAGTCTTGTTGAACCTCAAGAACTTTGTGAGATATAATAAATGGTAAATGGCCTGTGTTTGTATGGAACCTTCTAATGTTCTACAACCACACACACACACACACACACACACACACACACTCACTCACACACTGGTGATGATGAGCTACATTGTAGCAAAGGGGGTAAATTCTTTACGTTTACAGCATTGTTATTGACAGTGTCCTTCACACGCTATATGACAGTAGTGGGGTCCTCCTGCTGCAGTACAACAGAGATAAGGGGGCTTGTTATTGTTGTTTAACCTCTAATTGTCCCTGACCGTTTCTGGACGTCCCTGTTGTGCTTACCATGTAACAAATAACATGCTGGTTAGAAATCGTTACGCCTGCTTCTGGTTCCCACAGTCCCCGGTGACATCCAAAAAATGTTGGCTGTCTGCAGCAGACCCCTCTCCCCCCCTTCCTAGAATGTTTCAACTGGCTGTGTTGCATAAGAGGTATTGTGAAAAGCTCACATGTCCATTGCTGATACCCTCAACAAAAAGGAAATAATAACTTTAGATGAGTAATTGTCCTCTAATATTCAATATTTCATTGTTGACTCTGATTTCTGCTGAGCTATAATTCATTTCAATTCAGTGTATTTATATTGCACCAAATCACGTCAAGAGTCGTCTCAAGGCACTTCACAAAATAAATATTCCAAATGAGTTCAGTTCAGTTCAATTAGTTAAAAGTTTCCTATATAAGGAAATCCAGCAGAAAGCATCAAGTCACTTTACAGCAATCCTCATTCTAGCAAGCATGTAGCAACAGTGGAGAGGAAAACTCCAGGATCCGGGCTCAGTGTGAGCAGGCATCCACCACAAGTGACTGGGGTTTGAGAAGACAGCGCACACACACACACACACACACACACACACACACACACACACACACACACACACACACACACACACACACACACACACACACACACACACACACACACACACACACAATATATTTGTGCTACTACTAGTTTACCTGTTGAATTAATAATAGAGTCACTATGATAAATACAATAAAATGTATCTCTTACTAAACAGAATATTTACTAAGAAATCACAATGTAACCATAGAAACATTACTTGGTATACAGTATATGTTGTGTGTGTGTGTGTGTGTGTGTGTGTGTGTGTGTGTGTGTGTGTGTGTGTGTGTGTGCACGTGTGCGTGCGTGCGCAGACGTCATGAATGCACACGCATGTGTGCATGTCTGCTCTGTCTTCCCAATCCCCAGTGAGTCGTGGTGGATGGCTGCTTATATTGAGCCAAGATCTTCTGGAGGTTTCTTCCTGTTAAAAGGGAGCTTTCCTCTCCACTGTCGCTAAATGCTTGCTTAGTATGAGGATTGCTGTAAAGACACTGACACCAGTCGGTGACTTGATGCAACCTGCTGGGTTCCTTATATAGGAAACTTTTAACTGATTGGCTTAATAAACTGACCTGGATTGAAATGTTTACTGTGTGAAGTGCCTTAAGACGACTCTTGTTGTCATTAGGTGCTATAGAAATAAACTTGAATTTAATTTAACTGAATACAGTACAGGTCAAAAGTTTGGACACACCTTCTCATTCAATGTGTTTCCTTTATTTTCATGACCATTTACACCGGTAGATTCTCTCTGAAGGCATCAAAACTATGAATGAACACTTGTGGAGTTATGTACTTAACCAGAAAAGGTGAAATAACTGAAAACATGTTTTAGATTCTATTTCTATTCTATTCCTTTGCTCTGATTACTGCTTTGCACACTCTTGGCAGTCTCTTAATGAGCTTCAAGCGGTAGTCACCTGAAATGGTTCTCCAACAGTCTTGAAAAGTTCCCTTTGTAAATGGTCATGGTCATAAAAATGAACAAAACACATTGAATGAGAAGGTGTGTCCAAACTTTTTGGCCTGTATTGTATACCAAGCTAGACCAAGGCTAGATTGTGATTTCTTAGTAGAGATTCTATTTATTAACAGCTGATGGCCACCTCCATAAGGCCACCACAGCTCAGTAGAACACCATTGTAGCTTCTTCTGGGGAGACAAACACAGAGAGAAAATAAAACTAAAAGCTGAAATAAAATAAAATAATGCAATTAGAGAGTAGTGGTAGAAGAAAGTAGCAGATTGTGGAATGTGGTCAGTATGTCCTCTAAGCCTTTAGCAGCATAACTACAGAGTCTACTCTGGATAACCTAGCCTTTTAGATGGAGGAATGTTGGAGGCAGAGCCAGAGAGAACCGTCTTTACCGACTGTGTTCCCTACTATACACTCCACCTCCTTCTACTCCACCACTCATCCAAACTTGGGCCAACACCTGTCAGAATTTAACCATAAGCTCTATCAAATTAAAAGGTTTCAAGCCTAGTCTACAATGCAAAGTGTCTGCCTCACAGACCAAAGCTGTGAGCTGGTTCCACAGTAGAGGAGCCTGATGACTCCTGCCTCCCATCCAATTTTTCACAGGGAAAACTGAACTACTAAACACACAAAAACAACCACATAAATGAGCATGCTGCAGCACATGGGGAAAAAAGACACATGGGACACAGAAAATTATAGTTTTTAAGGGTTCACTACCAAGCCTGAGTTTTGGGGAGTTTTTCTCACGTTGCTTGAATTTTGATCATGAAAAAATAAATAAATAAATTACAGACTAACTCCTAAATCAAAATATGAGGTAGAGTCTGGCAAATGTCTGAAACTTTTCTAAATTTAGTTTCCATGAACCAAAAACAGAAATATGTGAACTAATGGGTGGGTTTTGTGAACAAATAAAAGAATTAAAATGTTGGTAAACAACAAACAAATTAAGAGACAACTACTTTTTTGGTTGACTAACCTGCAACAAGAACATTTACACAACAGTTTGCAATTACAGGACACTCTCTAAATTACCTACATGAATGAAAATTCCCACAATTTAATACTAATTCATTATATCGCTTATTTAAAATTTGCAAGTTTTCTTAAACTTTTATAGTTGAAAAGAGATGAAAGGGTAAATTAAAAAGTATAATTAGAGGCCACATAAGCGGAGGAAGACGACGACGACGACGACTATTTAGCAGGTCTACTGATGACCTGAAAGCCTCACAGGATGATAACTCGGGCGTCACTGGTTTAGGCTATTACTGGTTCCACAATGACAAATGCTACTGCAATACACCACGTTGAAAGTGACTCTTTTCTGTGAGTTTATTGGACTGTAGCTCAGTAAAGTTTGTATTATTGTCACAGTTTTGAAAGGAATGTGTGTCACAATGAGAATTAAGGTCTACTAAAAAATAAAATCTACACACATCAGCCATCAGTTTTTTAGCATCATCTTTCTGGCAGAACATCAATGAAAATAACTGCTTTGTTTCTTTTTTATTTGTGCTTCAGGTAACTGGGGAGGAATATGCTCACAACACACCATCTTCCGTGATGGACAAAGATCCTCTCTTAACACCGGCTTAATAACAATTCAGAACTACGGACAGTTCCTGCCTCCTCGACACATCCAGCTGACCATGGCACACGAACTGGGCCACAGTCTAGGTTCTCCGGTTAGTTTTTGTCCTAACACTCATCTTCAGCACGGGATGCTCAAAACAGCTCCATAGATTACTGTAGTTTACATCCATCTTAATTTAACTTAACGCAATTGAATTTAACTTAGTTTAATGTTAAACTGCAATAATTATTGATATGTTAGAGGAAGCTACGCAGCAAGAATGTCCTGGGTTCGCTTCCCAGCTTGGGATCTTTCTGCATGGAGTTTGCATGTTCTCCCTGTGTGTGCGTGGGTTCTCTTCGGTTACTCCGGCTTCCTCCCACAGTCCAAAAACATGACTGTTAGGTTAATTGGTCTGTCTAAATTGTCCTTAGGTGTGAGTGTGTGTGTGCATGATTGTTTGTCCTGTGTGTCTCAGTGTTGCCCTGCGTTGGACTGGCTCTCTGTCCAGGGAGTACCCCGCCTGATTGCCCGTTGACTGCTGGAGATAGCCAACACCCCCCACCCCCCGCGACCCTACATGGACAAAGTGGGTTCAGACGATGGATGGATGGATGTTAGAGGAAGTAAAAAATCTAATAATTGCCTTACTTATTTTCCTTTGGAAAAACTGGTTTGTTTGTTTGGTTGGTTGATTCAGACTGTTTTGTTGGGTTCTTGTTAAAGGTGTGGATCAGTGAAAAAACATTTTAATGATTTTTTTCTGATTATAATCAATCTCTCTGAGTTTTTTATGCTGACCGAACATGAAAATATTCTCCTACACATATCCCATGCATTAGCTTCTGATAGAAAATAGATGGTGAAATTCTAGGATTTGAAAAGTCTGACAGATCTACATCACACTGTCACCTACATTCATGGACTCAGCCATGAGTTGGTTTAGCATCCAAGAAACAGCAGAGACCATCTTGGCTAATAGAAGCTAACCATTAGCATTAGCAACTCCACCACACAGCAAAACACCTCCAGGCTTGTGTTTTTTGTGGAGATTAAACATCCTTGTTGTTGAGCAAACAAATTCAGTGGTAGAGTCAATTAAATTCAATTCAAGCTTATTCATATAATGCCAAATCATGACAAGAGTCGTCTCAAGGCACTTCACATAATAAACATTCCAATACAGGTCAGTTCATTAAGCCAATCAGAAAAAAGTTTCCCATATAAGGAACCCAGCAGACTGCATCGAGTCATTGACTGGTGCCAGTGTCTTTACAGCAATCCTCATACTAAGCAAGCATTTAGTAACAGTGGAGAGGACAACTCCCTTTTGACAGGAAGAAAACTCCAGAAAGATCTTGTTAAAAGCTGCGGGAGAGAGCTTAAAGGTAAATACTTCAGCGTTAACGACCAATTTCCCAAGGAAATTCTGGATCACCACCTAGTTCTCTTCCCACTGTGTAAGAAGTTAATCCAGGATGGGAAACGGGTTGTCATCTTCGTATCGACTGCATGTGAACAGTAAACTCTACAAAGAAGGAGGAGTAACAGACTGGCTTTATTAGACAAACATCAGGTACAACTTTATTATTATTAACAGAATTCACTGGGTTTGAACAAGTCAGGATTTATTAGCTGCTAGGTCCGTGTTTAGATATGTTCACCTGTTCCCTCACCACCTCACACCGACAACACTTTTTTCTTTCCTTTCTTCTTTTTTCCTTTTCTTTATTTTTATAATTCCTTCCTTTGCCTTTTTTTATCTGCGTCTGGATCTTTACATCTGCATGGCACAATTAGCAATTTTTTTTCTGCACTGCAGCAACACGCACACAACATGCACACGCACGCACGCACACACACATATATAGAATCCATACGCACAGTCACACACGATGTAAGTAAGGCGTTTTATGGCATCAAAACCACTGCTGGGCTTGAGCATTTCTTCTTCTTCTTCTTCTTCTTATTATTATTATTATTATTATTATTATTATTATTATTATTATTATTATTATTTATCATTATTATTATTATTATTTATCATTATCAGCATTAATATCTTTATATTAATATATTAATATTGTTAAAATATGATTATTATTTTAATATTGCTACTATTATTTATTATTATTATTATTGTTGTTGCTATTATTGATATTGCAAATGATAATAATGATTATAATGATACCCTTATTATTTACTCTCTATTATTTACTATCAGATTAATTTATGCATTTAATTACTTATTTTATATCATACACATGAAAGCATCATATTCTAGCTACTCACACACACATCTATGGGTGCACTAAGGTTTGTCTCATGGAACGTACATGGAGCTGGCTCCAGAGAGAAGAGATTAAAGATTTTTGATCAATTAAAAAGAGTGCAGGCATACGTAATAATATTACAAGAGACTCATAGATCTGCCACATCTGCAGTTGAACTTAAAACATCTGAGTTTCCCAGCATGTTCTCTGCCTGCTATTACTCTAGGCAAAGAGGTGTTTTAATACAAAAAAACATCAATTTCACAGTATTGGACACAGTTTCAGATCCAGAGCTTTACAATGCTAAAAATATCTGTACAGAAGCAAAGCTTATGTAACGTCAGCATACACTGTCCAAATATTGATGACCCTTCATTATTTCATTATTTTTTTCTCTGTACTCTCCGAACACTTGGACTGTCCACTTAAACTTGAAGGCGATTACATTTTTGGATGGATACTTTAACAGACTGGCTCAGTATAGCTGGGACTCAGTGATGAGAGGTAAAATAATCTTTCTCATCACATTCTGGATCATTCTGGCTCCAACATTTTTCAGAATGGTGAGGGAAATCGAAGAGAGCGGCAGATTACAGCCAAACATGAACTCAGCCAATATTAGTATTTTGTTAAAACCAGGCAAAGACCCAGCATTTCCTACCAGCTATCGCCCAATTTCTCTTATTAATGTTGATCTCAAAATAATTTGTAAGGCCCTGGTAAAAAGATTAGAGAAGGTAACCCCCTTCATAATGCACCCTGACCAAACTGGTTTCATGAAGGGTAGACAGTCATCCACAAACTCACGTAGATTACTTAATTTGATAGATTTCTCTTACAGTAGAAACATAGAAACTAGTATATTATCTCTAGATGCAGAAAAGGCTTTTGATAGAGTTAACTGGAAGTTCTTATTTGCAACTTCACATAAATTTGGTTTTGGGAACTTCTTCATAAACTGTCTACAAACATTAAACAATTCACCAACAGCACGTGTCAGGACAAACGACCAATTATCAGCTAGCTTCTGTCTTCAGAGGGGGACCAGGCAGGGATGCCCACTCTCCCCCTCACTGTATGCTGTCTTTGTCAAACCACTAGCGGCAGCAATTAGGCAAACAACAGATATTAAAGGCATAAAGTGTAAGAACATAGAACATGAAAACAGTCTTTATGCAGATGATGTGATACTTTTTCTCCTGAATTCTCAATCCTCTCTCTCTCAAGCAATAGAACTGATAAACTATTTCTCAACAGTTTTAGATTTTTCAATAAACTGGTTAAAATCCACAGTTCTTCTTCTTCTTCTTCTTCTTCTTCTTCTTCTTCTTCTTCTTCTTCTTCTTCTTCTTCTTCTAAAACCAGACTGAAAATCCTCAAACAGATCATTAGTGTTTAAATGCTCACATACTTGGTTGGCCACTATCTTCTCAAGGACTTTGGATAAAAATGGAAGGTTAGATATTGGTCTATAATTTATTGGGTCATCTGGATCCAGAGAAGGCATCCTAAATAAAGGTTTGATTATAGCAACCTTAAAATCCTGTGGTACGTATCCATTTACTAAGGATAGATTGATTATATTTAGAATGGGGGCAGTAACCAAAGGAAATGCATCTTTAAATAATTTGGTTGGGATTGGATCTAAAATGCAAGTTGAAGGTTTAGATTAAGCTAGTATTTTTGATAACTCTGAAAGCTCAACTGGATCAAAATGGTTCAAACAGAGATGAGGTTCTACAGTTACCTCTGATGCTGCCTTACTTACTGAGGAAGAAGAAATCGCATTAGGGAGGATGCTAATAATTTTGTTTCAAATAGAATTAATTTTCCTTGTGAAAAATCCCATAAAGTTGTTGCTGCTGAGGGCTAAGGGAATAGATGGTTCAGAGCTATGATTCTGTGTAAGTTTGGCAACTGTACTGAAAAGATATTTAGGATTAGTCTTATTCTGCTCAATTATCGATGAAAAACAAGCAGTTGTAGCTTGTCGAAGCTTATTTTTATAAAGGACTAGACTATTTTCATGTTGCTGTTAGCCAATCCGAGGCTAACAGCAACAATGTATTGATTAAACGAGAGTCCCACACTTTTAATATTTGTTCTGTTCTTGAACAACCTGTCCATGAAATCCATTGGCGTGAATGTTAGAGACTTTGGCCTTTATTAAACAGTTTCCTTTAAAAAAGACTCAGGTTTGAGCATCACAGGATGAGCCATGAGGTCATCACAGGCATGTTTGATTATTTTCACATGACACCAGCTTTCACAATTTCAGCCTAAACTTTCTCTCAGGAATTTTGCCTGAAATGCAATCACAACTCTTTTTCATCTTTTTTTTAAATCTAAATATTCCCTTTTTTGCCCAATATTTTTGGTTCATTTGTTGTTATTCTTGTGAAGCACCTATTATCTTGGGAGGCACTATACAAAATTCGTTTCATCTTCCTCTGATGTAGAGTGAATTAAATGCTTTGGCTTTTTCTTACTCTCCATTTATTTAATTTTATCACAGATCTTGAAAAATACAAGAAACTCAAATATCTTTGAATGTCATAATATAAAATAAACCTAAGTGAAAATGATAATTGGAATTTAATTGTCTATTATCTGCTAAAACAAAGTTACCTGCTAAAATATTCATTTAAATTGTTTTAATTCTGACATCTCTTTTACCTTTTTGAGTGCCCGTGTGGTGGGAGTTATCAGTTATCAGAACTAAAGCTGTTGAGTATGTGACAGCTGCTCATTCTTTGTTTGCAGGCTGATAAATTGGCCACTAGTTAAGCCTTGGGCAAACACAATTTATTGGGATGTTGTTAAGACAAGGCTAGAAAAGTCCGGACTACATACGAGCTGTTAGACGTATTACAGGATGAAATGCTTCCAACTAATTCACTCATAGAGGAAAATCCCCAAAATCTTTGATTTCATTTACAAAAAACACAAAAAATCATCGTGACTTAGTACTTAAATGAGTACAAAAATGACACATTCATGTTTTTCAGACAATCAACAAAAACATTTCTGCCTTTTTGTCTAATTCAACAGCCAACTGTCTCCTGTAGGTTGCATAACAACACAGCTCAGCCAAGTTTAACATTTTATGTCTCTTTAGTTGGCTGCTTTGTTCTGAATCAGACAAACATGATTAAATGAATATCCTCCTTTCTATGAATAAAAACGCTCTGCTTTACAGTGAAACACCAAATGACTTTAATGTGTTTTTACCTTTTCGATGCGTCAGAGTTAAGAATTCATTCAGATCCCAGCGGGTGTCAGCAGTAAGCTGTGTGCCTGGACCTTGGGAACATGAATGTCTACATGCAGCAGTTTTTCTCAGTCATGAGTTGAGGGATTGGTTTTACATTTTTGGTGATGTGTTTCCGGGGACCACCTTCAAAGGAGAGGATCTATCTTTGTAATAACTTTGATAACAAGTAATGTCACTAAAACTGCATCAGACATTTATGGTTCCAGTTAACTCAAGACCTCTGGTTGGTTTTTAGAGGGTTTAGAAGAATCTAAATTAAGGGCTAAAATAGTGCAATTAAAAAACAATAAAACTAATTAAAAGTATAATAAATACAATTTGATTTTCAAAAGAAACAACAAAGTCAAAAGAACGTTCAGAAATCAACGAGCCACTGCGGCTCATGCAAAATAAATCCAATGTCTAAAACTTGAAAGTTGTGATTTGATGCTTCTGCTCTAGTAGAAAACCATAGGCCCACCCCAGTGCATACTTCCTAGCTAACTTACAAAACAAAATTTAAAATGCAATCATTTAACCTACAAATAAACTTAGCAATCAACCAAAATGGTTCAAATGATGGTAACTGGACTTTCTTGAAGACGTTTCGCTTCTCATCTGAGGAGCTTTGTCAATTCTGACTGGATTATGGGAGAGCCAAGCTTACAAACTATGAGAGGACATCAAGGAAGTTTGCTGACTACAGAAACCACCTCCTGAGTTAACCTGAGATGTCGATAACAAAGTCTCCATCCAAAGAGCCTGAAACTTAGCACCATTAACGGACGACACGTCAGGTGGTAGAGAGGAGGGGTACCCAGAGTAGTTTCTGCTCCTTAAACAACAATAGACAGCTACAGCTTATAAGCTGTGTGTGTGTGTGTGTGTGTGTGTGTGTGTGTGTGTGTGTGTGTGTGTGTGTGTGTGTGTGTGTGTGTGTGTGTGTGTGTGTGTGTGTGTGTGTGTGTGTGTGTGTGTGTGTGTTTTCCCTCTTGCCTTCCCCCTCTTTGGGCCATTCCACAGCTTGGAGTGCAACTAGAGAAATTTCTGCATTTTATAACAGTCAAAAAAAGCAAACCACAATAAGAAAAATGTAAAAATTCAGTAGTTTTGATCCGTGCTACAGGCCTGGTTTGAAAAGTTTGGATCCAAGCAGAAAAAATTTATCATTTTTCAACTTCATCAAACCCAAACTATGATTTCTTATTTTTTTAGGTCCTTCAGTGAATCTGTGCTAAGATGAGTGAATGAATTTCCTTGACTTCTAATTATACATTGATGGATGCCTGCTGGTGTTTGTGATTAATACATTCTGCATGCTTGCCTCTTCCTGTCTAGAGTGGTGGGGGGCTGTTTCCATCTCCAGAGGTGGTGGTGGGATACCCCGACCATTGTAGGACTACATTCAGACTGCACCAAACTATACCTTTTATTTAAAGAGTCTGTTACGTTTATGGCATGTCTTATATAATGTGTGAACTTTTCAGCACCAGTGCATTAAAACAAATGTCTTTTTTTTTTTAACGTGGCAAAAAAATGTATTCTGTTTCTGGTCACCAACTAGCTGACAAGCATGGAAAACCAGATAAAAAACTCGTGCATGCACAAAAGTGAACATTAAATCTTCATGCAGCCAGTAATCCAATCCAGAACTTGTTTTCACCCCAAAGACACTCTGCAAGAAACCTAATGAGAAGACATTACTGCTGATTTCAACGTGTGAAGTCCTCCACATTGCTTGTTTTGCTTTTCTAAATAGTCAAGATTTGTGATTTTGTGAACAGTTTCTATAAAACTGTGACACAATGGTCAAAAGAGTAAAACAGCAACTCAAACAGAAGTGGAAATGCTGTGTGGCACCACAACATGTCAAATAAATTGCAGCAGAGACAAAAACAATTCCACATCTGCTGTGTCCCATCAATCCAACAGTCCCAGAGCTAAAGCAGATTGTAAAATTGTCACTCATTAAATCTATCATACTAATCAGGACCAGAGGGAGGCATACCCACATCAAGGCTGCTCTTCTCTACATGTGTTCTTGTTCATTTTAAATAATTTCTCTGGTTTCTGAACCTACCAAAGAGTCTGACACTCTGACAGGATGAGTTTTACCAAAAGTTACAGAAAAAAAAAACTTGTTTTGTCCTTGCTGTCCTACATGTGGAACACTGCGTCCCACTGTTTTGTTAAAATAAACGAGTTAAATGTTGACAGACATACCAAAGATATCAACACAATTCTCTGAATCTCACCATGTTCTGAAGGTATTTTTCTGACAACCTGCTGGGTTAAACTCCTGCATTTGTGATCAAAATACCGTAAAGCCTCTAAGACAGGCCCGGGCCTGTATTAGAGGATTCACGGTAAATGGAAGCTTGACTGGTTAATTTGTTTCTGTCAGCAGCTGAGTGAGTTTACAACAAAAAAAGCACATTAAGTAAATTTTTTGTGTTTCAGCATGATGAGGGCTCAAACTGCGGGGACCTGGGCTCTTCTGGTGGTAAAGGTCGGTACCTGATGTTTCCTCAAGCCACAGACGAGGTGCGTGAAAACAATGACAAATTCTCACCCTGCAGCATTAAACATATTAGCAAGATCCTGAAGCAGAAGAAGGACAACTGCTTCGTAGGTGAGAGAAGTGTTTAACAGTGTTCATCGATAAACCTCCTGGTGGCTGAGAGTAGTTCTGCTTTTCTGCGTGCTCTGATCAGTCAGCGATCAGCCCATCTGTGGGAACCACATAGTAGAGGAAGGTGAAGAATGTGACGTTGGTCAAAACAGCACAGATCTGTGCTGCTATAGTGCTGCAGAGCCTGTAGGAGTCCAGTGTCACCTGAAGCCTGGGAAAGTCTGCAGGTACCACATTCATAAATCAAACTTTCATAAGAAATATTTTTTTGCTGTTCCACATTTCTTTTTGTCTTTTTGTCCATCCATCAGTCCGAGTCAGGGCTTGTGTTGTGGTAAGAACTGTGAGTTTAAACCGGCGGGTCAGATGTGCCACGAGGAAACGGACTGTCAGGAAGTGACTGAGTGTTCAGGTCTATCCCCGGTCTGCCCTGAGCCACATGCCAAGGAAAACCTCACCATCTGCAGCCAGGGCACACGTATCTGTCTGAACGGGGTGAGGCACACACGCACGCACACACACACACACACACATAGAATGTGACGTAACACATTTTCTTTATTACCCAACAGTTTGGCAATATTTGCAGCATTCCTGCAGAGACCCTAGCAGCAGCAGTTTTCTGCTGTGCCTTCATTTTTAGTCTCTTCTAGGATATTTGATTCAGATTTTCTGCCTTTAAACCCTACGGTTAGCATGTCTGATTACAGGATGATCACACTGAATTTTGACCAGGCCCATTCCTTCAGACATCTCAAAGTTGCACCTGATTACTGTGACGGCTCTAAAGATCATCTTCCCAGATAATCCTACCATGCGTTGTGTATCACGTGTGATCTGATCTGGTAGCGTTCCAATAAAAAATCCAGACTTTCAAACATGTTGTATTATCCCTGTCTGATTTTCTAGGACATGAACGTACTGCCTGTTTAACCTAACAACAGGTCATATTTAATTGGTAGTCACGTTTTATCTTGAGAGACATCCCATCTAGGGGAAGAATGTCCATGAGTGAAAGCGGTTCGTGTGTCGTTTTTGCTGAGCTGCAAGACAGCACACACTGTAAGTCAAAACAAGTATATCAGTGATTTTCTGTCACCACATGTTTGGTCTTGTGTTTCGGCCAACAATATAAAAAATCCTGCTATATGAAATGAGCTTTAGGTGAAAATCCAAATTCTCTCTGATCTGGTGTACTACTCAAGTGCTTCTCATTTTGGTTTCAGTTTGTGGGAATAAAAAAAGACTCCCTCGTTGCCAATCATCTTTGTTTTTTAACAAATGCAATATTACTGCACATAATTACTTGGAAAATCACTGACTGACTCCATCTTACTGCGCCATCACGGTATGATTACAAATAACTCATCTTGACTCTTAAATACACTGAGATCTCTGATGGGAATTTCCTCCAGCTGTGAAAGTTGCTTAATCATTTGTTCAGGATGTCTTATTGTCCAGATGTGCAGGCTGTGATAATGTCTGATTACACGATAAAATACCTGGAAAAAGCTTTTGGTGAGAAGAGAGAAATAATGGTATTTTCAATTGTTTTCCTGGTTCAGTTTAGTTGCTAAAAACAAATGTTTGTTTGTTTTCATCTTTGAAAACAAAAAGAAAAGCACATGCGTGAGTATCTGCATCATAACAAAGATTTTGGCCAAATGTTTGTCACAAGACAAAAATGAGAGCATGAAAGATTCAGGAGACAGTTCAGTCAAAAAGCAAAACAAATCAGCCAGGATATGGATATGGCATCCAGCATATCATAACAGAAGAAAGAGAACAATGAAAAACTCCTGGCTAGACCTGAAGGGATGGAAAGAGTAAACAAGATGAGAAAGGATGCAGAAAGAGGACAGGATTAGGGAACAGGTGTGTGTGTGTGTGTGTGTGTGTGTGTGTGTGTGTGTGTGTGTGTGTGTGTGTGTGTGTGTGTGTGTGTGTGTGTGTGTGTGTGTGTGTGTGTGTGTGTGTGTGTGTGTGTGTGTGTTGAGGGTAGAGAAACAAACTCAACAATTCAGAACATGAAACCAAAGACAACTAGAATAATTATGACTCTTGCACATATAATCACATCTAACTTTCAGAAAAAAATCATTTCAATAAGAAAAATTTAATAAATATAAACATTTTTGAAAGGTTAAGGTGACACTACTAAAAATAGTTCTTTGGTTTGATTGATTCGTGTGTTAAAGCATCCTAAACGACTCATTCAGTATTAAAGTATAAATGAAGTGATGCCCTTTTATAACTGAAGAACATCCTGACTGTTTCTTGTCGTTTTAATGTCTTTTTTTCTCTTCCGAGTCTTTCCTTTAGAAAATCATCAGAGTGTGTGTTCTCGTGCAGGTGTGTGCCGAGTCTGTGTGTGTGAAGCACGATCTGCAGCAGTGTGACTGTCCAGGAGACAACATGAAGGAGAAATGCCACATGTGCTGCCAGCAGCCTGGTAACCACAGACCGGCGTGTGTCTTAATGACTCAGAAACATGTTTACATAGAGTACAAATATAGACCAGCTGTAGCAATAGCAAAAGATTCAGTCTAGCGGCTACCCCAAGCGGTGAACTTCGTCTGCCAAAAGGGCCAACATAGTTCCCCCCTCTTCCACCAGGGCTGGTTCCAGAAAGCTGTTCTCAACCTGCTGCAAAAAAACATTTTAAATTAAATAGGTCAAGTTTACCATCATGACTCGTGATACAGGTTCAGTTTGGTTTCATTGATACTCTCACAAGGCCTTTTCCTCAGAGCCCTGTCATCACATTGCAGTTGAATGAATGAGATGAAACATACAGCACGTGTTCTAACTGTGTGTCCGTTACAGATAATCCCAAAACGTGTGCCAGCACCACCTCCTCTGTGCTGTCTCGCTACTTTCAGGGGACGTCGCTGCCTCTGGTTGGTGGTGCTCCGTGTGCAGGGAACCGAGGGTACTGTGATAAGTTTCACATGTGTCGCCTACTGGACGCAGACGGCCCTATAGCCAGACTGAAGAACGCTTTTCTTCATTTTGACGAGTTTGATGACGTGGCAGAGTGGATGAAGGTTACTTTTTCTATTTTGTCTTTTTTTTACATGCAGCAACTACTAAAATCAAGCCTCTTCATATTCATTTTTATGAAGCCTCTTTGGTCATTTCAGCAAGTGAACAGGCACAGGGATGACTTTAACCGTAATAGATGTATTCTAGCTAGGATCCCTTACCCCACCCTACTAAACAGTTATGGATGACATGTGCATCTGCCTCACACCTTAATTGAGAATCGAGTTATACAGGAAGGGGTCATTCCTGAGTGAACAGGTAAGGTGATTAACAGGTGTGTGATTGGTTGGAACTGGGTACAACAGCAACAGTAATAACCAATAGTGTTACAGACGCCAGAGGTCTAGAAGGTGGTGCCGCAAAGGCGTTTCCCAGTCATGGACAGAAGGAAACGGGACATGGGCTGCATGAATGCGATGTTCATTTATTATAAAAATAAAACATAAAGTTAACCAAAACAAATGTGTTAACTGATCGGCTCGGGCTGCTGCCTCTGTCTGCTCCCAATCCTGGCCTCTTATGCCAAACACTAGAGGGTCGGCATGTCGCAGCTGAAAGTGGACGGCAGGTGGACGTAATCAGCTGATGAGCTGAGGGGTGCGGGGAAGGACAGCAACATAAAAAAATCAAGGCAGACCCAGTCTGTAACAAATTGGGGATGACTGAAATGATCTGGAATTGTTTGACTTACCCGAGCAAATGTCAGACACAAATTTTTCATGTTCCTGTCTTTACTGTCATATATCAACATATACAGGTGATAATCAAATATAAAATAATAAAATACAGTTTTATGGACAGGATTTCTAGATGCAGCCAAGGTGTTGAGGGGATCCGTTTTGGTGGCCTGAAGATCAGGTCTCGGCCTTTTGCAGATGATGTGGTCCTGTTGGCTTCAATAGAACATGATCTTCAGCTCTTGCTAAAGTGGTTTGCAGCTGAGTGTGAAGCAGCTGGGATGAGAATCAGCTCTTCTACATCCAAGACCATGGTCTTGAGTTGGAAAAGGGCAGAATGCCTTCTCCAGGTCAGGGAAGAGGTCCTGCCCCAAGTGGAGGACTTTAAGTATCTCTGGATCTTGTGAGGGAAAGATGGAGCATGAGATCAACAGGCAGATTGGTGCTGTGTCTGCAGTGATGTGGACATTGTACTGGTCTGTCCTGGTGAAGAGAGAACTGAGCCAGAAGGCGAAGCTCTCAATTTACTATTTGATCTACGTTCCTACCCTGACCTATGGTCACAAGCTTTGGGTGGTGACAGAAAGAACAAAATCGTGGATACAAGCGGCCAAAATGAGTTTTCCCTGCAGGGTGTCTGGGCTCTCTCTTAGAAATGGGATGAGAAGATCGGTCATGCAGGAGAGACTTGGAGAAGACTTGCTGCTCCTCCACGTCGAGAGGAGCCAATTGAGGTAGCTCGAGCATTTGGTCAGGATGCCTCCCTGGTGAGGTTTTCTGGACACGTCCAACTGGGAGGAGACCTAAGGGAAGACCCAGGACACGATGGAGGGACTATGTCTCTCGGCTGGCCAGGAAATGCCTTGGGATTCCCCTGGTGGAGCTGGTCCAACTGGCTGGGGAGAGGGAAGTCTGAGTCTTTGGCTTAGGCTGCTGCCCCACGACCCAACTCTGGATAAGCAGTTGAAAATGGATATATAAATAAATAAATAAATAAATAAATAAATAAATAAATAAATAAATAAATAAATAAATAAATAAATAAATAAATAAATGAATAAATAAATACATATATATATATATATATATATATATATATATATATATATATATATATATATATATATATATATATATATATATATGTATATATATATATATATAGAGAGAGAGAGAGAGGGGGGGGGATGGATATAGATAGATAGATAGATAGATAGATAGATAGATAGATAGATAGATAGATAGATAGATAGATAGATAGATAGATAGATAAAGACAGCATCTTTGAGTTGTTGTGAAAAGCGCTTTATAAAACTTATGTATTACAAATATATATGTATTTTTGTTCTTGTGATTTTTTTATCTTGAGAGGCGCTGCTTAAAAATGTGTTTCTTCTCCTTAAAAATGAATTTTGGCATCTGATACAAATATTTGATTCAAAATGTTTTCAGGCACTAATTCCTGTCTAACACAAAAATCACAAACATACAAAAAATGTCTTCAGCTATCAGTCATGCACCTACCCGAGCCCCTGCAGACCGTTCACTTTCTGGGTGATGTTTTCAGGAGGAGATCTAACATGACAGAATCATAAGAACCCAACTAAACAGTTTCGTTCTTCTCCACAGGCTCATTGGTGGGCTATCCTGATCGTTATCATCGCTCTGTCTGGAGTGATGGGCTGTACGGTCTTCCTGTGCAGCCGCACCCTGAACACCCATGGCTTGGACTGACCCCTTGACCTAACATCTCCTCCTGGACCACACAGAAAATAATTTCAACCTCATTTTTTGGGACAGTAATTGAGAGATGGTCTTTGGTCAACTCTGTCTCACACCTGATCTGAACGTAACGTCCAAGGTCGCTGAACACCTGCTTAAGCCTGTCTCTTGTGTTTGTCACCTGATATGTTTGCATCTCCGTTTCCGTAAGGGACTTTATTTGCGGTAAGCCTCTTGTGGCACTCGTGTTGTGAAAAGAGTCTCTGCCAAGATGAATCAGTACAGTCTTTCTTGGAAAGACACAGATGCAGTGACACTTGAATGTAAAGTCACATGTCCCTGCAAAAGCCAACGTGTTTCTGATTTGGAACCGTTCCAACTTTCCATGTCGGTAGAGATGAAAGAGCATGTGGACATGATGGCTCTGGCCAGTGCCGCTGTTTGTACAGGAAAACTTAAAGGTTCCATATCATGCTTTTTTTAAACCTTTGAGAGCAAAGGTGGGCACAGTATATTACACTATTGAGATGTCATTTATCTTAAATATGAGTTCTTTTTATCAGCCTGAATTTATAGCCAGAAATACAACAAACTTTGTTTCAGTGAAGCTCCGCCCATGCCCGCTCCAACCAAACATGCCTACAGTAGTGTCTTAGATGAGGTGGGTATTATGTTTGCTGTGATAGTCCAGTGGCAAAAGCTTCAATCCTGCGTCTCATTTTTGCCATGTTCTGATGTGGGTTCAGCTCCTGACGGTGTCGGCAGCCGTTTATTTACCAGCTGGAGCAGATTTCATGTTTTTATATTTTAGTTTTATTGAATATTTTCGGCAAAATATTTTGTGTCTCTAAAGATCTTTGAATTTGGTCATTTCCAAGCAGCTCACCTCACATGGACTTACAAAGAAAGTAAAAAAAATAATAATAATCAGTCCTTATATTATTAACAGTTTACTAATAAAGGATTGAAAAAATCATACTGGTTACTGTTCATTCTGGGATGTAAACCAGCACAAAACTGTATGCTAGCCTAGCCATTAACCAAGTCTATTAAATAAAGCTTGTTGCTTAAGCCACGTATCCTGAGATTGCCAGGGAGACCAGTTTAGACCAGAGAATAGCTTCTTAGGGAGGAGCAAGGCCTGATGTTGGGGGCAGGATGATTAATGTTTATGTTTATTTATTTGGCAGACGCTTTTATCCAAAGCGACTTACAATTTATAACCTATAGGGCATGTTGTGATCTGTGGGGGTTAACCGGAGTACCCGGAGGAAACCCACGCATGCATGGGGAGAACACGCAACTCCACGCAGAAAGGCCGCAGCCGAGCCGAGTTTCGAACCTGCAACCTTCGTACTGCGAGACAACAGTGCTAACCACTGCGCCACCATGCAGCCCTTATACATTAGATTGTTTCAGGAATGTCAAAATAAAAATCTAAATTTGTAGCTGAAACATAAAAAATGCATGGATACAGCCAAAAACAGGTTTGCGGGTGCTTTTCACGAGGAAACAACAATATTACATGCTACAAAGCTCCAAAAAGTGGATTTTCCATGTTATGGTCCTTTTAAATTTTGAAAAACTTGAACCAAAGTTCAGCAGTTTTGTTTTATTCTTCATTTTTATGCATGATAAGACACTTCAGAGTGCACTAGAATGCTCGTGGCCTTCTTGGCTGAGGGTAAATCTGAGGACATTTTCAGAACCTTGAAATGAATTCTTATTTTAAAAAGACAAAATCTGCAGCTGTCTGTATAATTAACTCAAGTGTTCTTATTTTAATCTGTCTCCATGTCACCTTGACACAATCGGTGGAACATTCTGGCGTCACAACTGAGAGGGCACGAAGAACAGCGTATCTTATTTTGGGCAGTTTGAGAATATTTTGAATTGTATATCAGAAATGGCTGTGTGAAAGTTTAAATTGTTCTTATTGGGAGGGGGGCATACATTTTGCTTTAATGATAAAATGAGAAACAATGGAAACGTTTTTGTTGTCAAGTCATAAAATAAAATCAAGTCGACTTCAGAACGTTGGCAAACTTGGTTTATTAGAGCATGTGCTCAGTGCAGTGACAAATTCTATGTAGTTTCACATAAAGAATTACAGAAATGTACAGTTTATAAAATAACTTCATCCATAGATAAAAATATAAAATAGCATCGCCTCTTTTTTAATAAATCTGTTATTTATATTCTGATATTTACAAAGATTCTCTGTACAAACCCCTTCCTTCAAAACGTCTTCCCTTTTTGTGCAAGAATAAATCGCTTTTATTCTTTTAAAGTCACAATGATTTCAGTACCGATCTCTGTAAAGCTGAGGAGTTCATCTTAAAGGAATTATAAATAAATGAGCATTAGCAGAAAGAAAACACTCTTTGACAAAAACTGAACGTAGAAAATACATGTATGTTCATTAGACACATTCCAGGTACGTTTGGCAGGTGTCCGAGGTGACAGAGATGCTGTGTATAAAGGTGTACAGTACAGTAGAACAATGTCAAAACAAAAATGGTGAGTCTGGGGAGCGTTTACAGTACACTGATACAGGTCCTACAGTCACACACAACCACAGTGTTGTGTTAGAAATAAAATACGCAAAAACAATTATACCAAAATGCTTAAAGGTGTAGTTCATTGAAAACCTTGTTTTTAATTATTATTCCTGATTACAATCTGCCACTCTGAGTGTTTCTTGCAGGCTGAACATGAAAATAGTCTCCTACACCTATCTCCTGCATGAGCTTCTGACAGAAAATAGATGGTGAAATGCTAGGATTAGGGAAGCCTGACCCATCTACGTCACACTGTAACTTCACATTCATGGGGAAGGCTGTTGTTGGTTTAGCAGCCAGGAAACGGCAGAGGACGTCTCGTATAGTAGCATTTGCAACTTCACCACACACCAGAACTCCTTCAAACTTGTGTTATTTGTGGAGATAAAACATCAGCGTTGCAAGTCAGTGGTAGTGTTGTGTTGCTGTTATCCAATCTGAGATGAGAAGTCCAAAAATCAGAAAATAATCCTGCCGTCTCAGCTGTGATGTGGGTCACTGCTCCTGGTGCACCGGCATACATCCCCCCACCCCTGAGTAAGACTTACAAGGCAATCATCTCTACTAGACCATTGCAAATGTATTGAATAATCAGGTGAACCATACCTTTAAAACCCCTAAAAATGTCATATTTTTAGAGACAGAAGTCCAAAGATGGTTGTTTCTCACAGTGTTTCTGTTTAAATTACATGAGGTATTTTATTAAACAGGATAAAAGTACCTCCGAAACTCCGTCAACCTAGCCTGGCAAGCCAGACCAAATAATAAATGTTGTCTGGCAACGCTCCATTGATGGCTCTCGGTCGTGGGGCGGGTTCAACCGTTGTCTTTCAAACAATCACCGCATGCTACTGGACAATGAACAATGTGACGTATACCGCAGCGGATGTCGGTAAACGAGGCAGTCCACTGTTGAAGAAGGTGAAAATACATCCTTTTTTTAACTCATTCACTGCCAATGACGACTAAAGCATCGGAACGAGCCCCCGCGCTGAGAGAACAAACATCTCAGCCCTGAAGCCAATCATCCGTATACGTCACAGATCACATGATCAGGAAGCAACACATCCATGTGTTTGGAGATCGTTTTGGGCCGTTCCTGTAAAAAAAGTGAGGCGCGAACCGGAAAAGCTTCTGCCGATCACAATTCGACAACGGATTATGAAAGACCGGATAACGCTCAAAACACGCGGCTTCTTCCTGATGTAAGAGGTGAGTCTCCTCTTTGTTTTGGTTGTTTTGGCATCGACATCATGCTAGCGCGCAACGTTCTGTGAGTCTTAAAAAACAGTAAAAACGGTGAGAAACGCTGGCAGCGAAGGCCGTTAGTGATCAGGAAACGGCTGGCAGTGAATGAGTTAAACATTTTTCTATACATCAATCTGCTCCTGATTCTAATAAAGCCCAAGTCCAAATAGTCCAAAACAGATGTAAAAGCAGTTTCAAACTAGCTGTCGCCATCTTGTTCCACTCTGTAGCACCATCCCGCCTACCAGAGAAATAGAGGGCCCTGATTGGCCCACAAAGCAGATAAAGCGCTGTGATTGGCCCACTATTGTGGACCAATCACAGCGCTATATATGATTGAAACCCCTATAGAGAGAGCTGTGATTGGCCAGCCAGAATGCTGCTAGGGGCTGCAGAGGTTCCAATGGAGCGTTCCTAGAACAAACTTTGCAAAGCAAGAATTTGGTCTAGTCCACTAGGCTAGCGTCAACCAGGTCCTCAGTCTGAACTACGTCCACACTGGTACGTTATCTTTTTACCTTTCTTTATTGCTGGTTGTGTTATAAAGTCTTAGTGAATTCACTAACAATAAGCCAATGATTTTTTTTTATTTGACTAACCTCTACATGAATATGTACCACTGTGAATATACGATCAGCACTCTAAGAAATGGAAAGGTGAACTCTCTAAACCAAGTTATGTCAACTTGTTCCACTATAGTAGCTTAAATGTAAAAAGAGTAATATGCTTTGACACAACATCTAACAATGTATATTACTCTTTACATCTATGCCACTAGGTTTAGTGGAACCAACTGACATAACTTGGTTAAGTTAATTCAACATTTTATTTCTTAGAGTGTGACATCCATTCACTCAGACTTTAGCCCACTAAGTCAACCAAACATGACTACATTTACTTGTAAAAACATAAAAATAAATTTATAAAACATTTTTTTACAAATCACTAAACAGCATTCACATGCTTGTTTTGGATTTTACAAAAATATAATATACAATATTTTATGCATCTGGTAAATGTACAGGGCTCTCATTTATCAAGCATTGCGTAGAATCTTTACTAAAACCGTACTTAAACTCTGCAAAAAAATGTACTTACGCCAAGTAGGTTTGTGATCTATCAAACATGGAGTACGCACAGCTGCACGCAATCTCCGCTTCATAAATCAGAGACTAACGAGAATGTTTCTCAGCTGCAATTTAGTCACATCCCGCCCTCATCACGCCCACTTACTGCCATAAATAGTCAATGCAAAGTGCCTTGTGGACCTCATGCATATACATAAGCTGGCTTGTTGCAGCATTTCAATCACAACCACAGATCAAGGAAGTGCTATTTCACAGCAGCAGAAATTGAGGTACCTGTGGTTGAGGTGGAGAAATGAAAGGAAGTGCTTTTGCAAAACAAATAAGAGAAAATCCATAGAGTGGCACAGCGTTGCTGAAGCCGTCAATGCTGAGTTCTTCAGAGAGATCTGTGATGGATATAAAAAACATGGTGCAATCGGGATTTGATCCCCAGACTCCTGGGTGAAAGTCACCCGTGCTAACTAGTCAGCCAAACAGAGATCTCCATTGTCCAAGTAGCCAGGGCGCATGATCAATCGGGTCACGGTGACAGGACACACACTGTCACAGACGCATGGCATTCTGTCTCAATCTGTCCCCCTGCTGATATTCTGCATTCCGTATTCTGCGCTTCAGGCTGTGTGTGTGCACGCGCGTGTGTGTGTGTGTGAGTGTGCGCACGTGTGGGAGGTCTTGTTCTGTGTGAAAATGAAGCGGTACAAGTGATAATGCTGCAGGATTTCATAATTTTATCCTTCTCAGCAGCACTGCAGGTGCTCTCCATGTCCAAAATGTGCATAAGCCAGGCCCTTAGTCAATTTAAAGTTGCGCACATTTTTCTGCTAAGTTTTCTTTCAGAAATCCCAAAGTTTGCGTGGAAAGTTGCTTACACAGTTTTCCGACCCCATTTTGTGCGTAAGCAAGCTTGATAAATTAGGCCCCTGTTGTATAAATTATCTGCTGAAATGAGCAAGAGGGAGTTCAGCAGCATGTTTTCTTTGTGATTTGTTCTTCTGAGATATTCTACAGACAGAGACCAGTTCATGGTTACAGATCAGCTCCCACATATTACATTACATATTATATTTCGTTAATGAATTAAATGCAAACACCAACTCACTTCTGTGGAATTTGCCTTGGTTTCGTCCTCCACGTACCCTTACATTTAACAAACGTGACCTCCGGTGTAGGGTTTGGGGCATTGGGGTCTTTTAGGCAGAATACCATTCTGCAAAGAGAAATTTATAATCAAAAAGTCAATACTTTATCCTACAGCTGACCCTGTTACAGGTTTGTAATGCTAATAGAAGTTGGCCACACCAAGATAACCAACGATTTTCCCCACATTCCTGTTTTTAACTTACTTTTGTTGCGTCTCTCCAGCTCTGATGCGTATTTTGTGAATCTCCATGTTGGAGCTGTTTGAGTCTCCAGACCACCAAGACGAAACTATCTTCAGAAGGCTGGAGGCCGACCAGCTGTTTGTCTCTGTCCACCTAAACTTCAGCATCAGTGGATCACCAATGTCTTTTTCTGTCACCAGCAGGAATGAATGTGTCTTATTTGACACAATACCTTCTTTCCTGTGATGAAAACATGCATTTTAAAAACACAACTAAATGGTGAGGTGGAAATCTGTGTGTTTGGATAAAGTGTTTGAAATGATCGCTCACAGCTGAAGTTCCAGGTTTTCAGCCTCCCCGTTGGTTCCAAACAGTGAAACAGTGAGTGAAGGCTCCATCTGTGATGTGTTCACTTTACTGGAGAAGTGGATCTTCAGCTGATAGTGATAAACTGGAAGGAGAATGAGAAGATGATTATTTAGAAAACACAAATTGGTGCAAAAAACCTCCTGCAGCTTCTCTGCTAAATGGCCAACAGAAGGAATTCTGACCTCTGAAAGGCATGGAGGCTCTTGTCTTGGTGTACATCTGAACATTGCGTGCTCTTCGGACCTTGCTCATGTCGTAGCCCACCGCGTTGCAGCGGCTCTTGCGGCAGCTCAGACACATGCCGCGGTCGAACATGTCGCTGCTGCCACACCTGTAGGCCTTGGCCACTTCCTGTTCATTCAGCAGCGAGTCAATAAACAGGTGGATCGAGCGCTCGTGTTCACATTTTACTGCGTCGGTGATGGCTGAAGAATGAGACAGGAATTAAAAACAATGTAAGAGAAGCTCTCTGACAGACGTAAGGACAGACATGTCTCCCAACCTTTACTCAGCCCTCATTTCAGCTCAGTTGACTAAAACAATATTTTACCACTGTAGCTTTTTACAGACATTAAACCAGCTCTTGTTTTAAGTTTTAAATACTACTACTATCAATGGGCTACAAAAGACGAAAAACCTCTTTTAAAATAATACAACATTTTTTACCAAATATCCCAAAGTTTGCTATTTTCTCCAGCGCCCCTCTGAGGTTGCACCCTGGCTGGAAGCTGCCTCCGTTGGGGTAAATGTCCACATGGCCGACGGGCTGCTTAATGCCGATGCTGAGACCCAGGGAGCCACGTGTGAAAGTGTGAAGGACATCAACAAAGTGAGCGTCATCTGGAGAGAGGCGTCTGTGAGCATGTTTGCCCTCAAACACAGGACCAGCAGGATCCAGACCTTCAGACCAGATAGAGGAGCATTACTAGGTGGTAAAAATTAAATGATAGAAATGTGACATGTGTAAAATGTTTCACTTTGTTTACCAGTAATTCTCCCAACTTTATTAGTAGCGTGGCTGCCGGCAAATCCTGCCACGTGAGCACCCAGGCTGTAACCAATCAGATGGATGTTGTCTAGCGGGATGTTGGTGGTTTCCTGTTGAACACAGTTTTACATCAAGACTGGATTACTGTAATTCATTACTCTCAGGAAGTCCACAGAATGTAGTTAAAAGTCTTCAGCTTGTCCAAAATGCTGCAGCTAGAGTTCTGATGAGAATTAAAAAGAGAGATCATATCTCTCCTGTCTTAGCTTCCCTACATTGGCTACCTGTTAAATTCAGAATAGATCATAAGATCCTCCTTCTCACATATAAAGCTCTTAATAATCAAGGTCCATCATACATCAGTGATCTGATTGTTCCATATGTTCCTAACCGAGCACTTCGCTCTCAGACTGCAGGTCTACTGGTGGTTCCAAGAATATCTAAAACTGGGATGGTAGGCAGATCTTTTAGTTATCAGGCTCCTCTCCTGTGGAACCAGCTCCCAGCCTTAGTCCGTGAGGCAGACACTTTGTCTACTTTTAAGAATAGGCTTAAAACATTTTTATTTGATAGGGCCTATGGTTAAAATCTGATGTTAGCCTAAATCTGGACAAGTGGGGGAGTACAGGGAGGTGGAGTGTACAGTCGGTAAAGACGGCTCTCCCTTGCCCTGCCTCCAACATGCCTACATCTAAATAGGATAGATTATCCAGAGTTATCTCTGTAGTTATGCTGCTATAGGCTTAGACTGCTGGAGGATACACTGACCACTTCTCACACTCTACTGCTTTCTTCTACAGTCTGCTCTTTAACTGTACTATTTTGTCCAATTTCAGCTGTTAACTTTATTTTCTCTGTAAGTGTTTTTCTCCCCAGAAGATGCGACAATGACGTTCTGCTGAGCTGTGGTGGCCTCATGGAGGGGGCCATCGACTAGCACACTTAAACATTCTCTCTCTCCTGATAATAACTTTTTGTTTTCATTGATTTTTGATGTGCTAATACTAGTTTATCCGTTTAATTATAGATCCACTAGGATAAATACAATAAAGTTTATCTTTCACCAAATAGAATATTTACTGACATCACAATATAACTGTAGACACATTACTTGTCCGTGTGTGTGTGTGTGTGTGTGTGTGTGTGTGTGTGTGTGTGTGTGTGTGTGTGTGTGTGTGTGTGTGTGTGTGTGTGTGTGTGTGTGTGTGTGTGTGTCTGCTCTGTCTTCTCGATCCCCAGTGAGTCGTGGAGGATGGCTGCTTATACTGAGCCAGGATTCTCTGGAGGTTTCTTCCTGTTAAAAGGGAGTTTTCCTCTCCACTGTCGCTTTATGCTTGCTTGGTATGAGGATTGCTGTATAGTCACTGACACCAGTCAGTGACTTGATGCAATTTGCTGGGTTCCTTATATAGGAAAAATTATTTCTGATTGGCTTAATGAACTGACCTGAATTGGAATGTTTATTATGTGAAGTGCCTTGAGACGACTCTTGTCGTGATTTGGCGCTATATAAATAAACTTGAATTGAATTGAATTGAATTGAACACAAGTGGAATAAAACCTAAGAAATGTTCTTACTGCTGCATTAGCTCAGCACATAGCCCTGGTAATGTAAAAGTCTAATAAACAGTAGGTTTATAAAAGAACTGGCTATTAAACGTTTTATTTGTCCTTAAAAATACTTGATTTAAAGACATTCAACTCACCTCGATCCAGTCAATGAAGCGAGCGACCTCCTGTCCCACAGCTTGGGTTTTCTGAGCAGCAATCACATAATGGTTCTGGGCTGAGCCGAGCCAGTCTACTACGATGATGTTGGCCGTCCGCTTCCTCTCGTGCAGAGCTGAAACTAACTTTGGCATCCAGCTTTCAAACATCCCACTCAGCTAAAAGTAAACACAAGCAAACCATTAAACACATCTCACGAATCAGTAAACCTCTGTATTAATCACTAAAGTTTACATTCATCTTTAGAATTTTTGCTCACCGTCCATCCGTGGATCACCATGAAGGTTTTGGCTGTGCTATTGAAGCCGCAGGCAGTCAACGACTCCGGTTTGCCAGGAATAAGGTAGCACAGGTCATTGTCGGGATGGGAAGGTTTACGGAGGAAGAATTTGGCAATCGCTGTGTTGCTGTCATGGTTGTTCTCCAACAAGTCTTTAAGAGGGTCCAGGAAGTTACCTAAGAGAGAAGATTGATAAATTAGCAGCATCGTTTTGAAAAATGCCTTTTAAAAATCAGAAGCAAACGCAACATCTCACTACGCTGATCTACAAATTGGGATAACACCTTCTCATCCATTCAACCCCCTCTGCAAAAATGAAAAACCTTCCACATTAAGACAGAATTCAAGTTTCTCTCATCCTGACTTATTATAATCTGCATGCACACGTGATCATTCCTCAATCAGACCACCTAACTCAGGTAGAGAGGCTAAGATGCTTGCAGGACAGGATGAGCTGATGGAGGTCAACACGTTGCAGACATCTGCGGGATTTGCAAGGAGATACATTTCTAAATAATTGCAAGTTGATGACTTAGATGCAGTTCAGATCATTTCACTGAACTTTGATCCTCTAATCTGCAGGACACCCAATGAGTAACACCTAATTTAACAAGATAATTAAAAACTCACATCACTGTATTGCTGCGCAAAACTTTGATTTATCAGTTATTGCGCACGCATTATCTCTATCATCATTAATAGTAATTTGGTACATTTTAGTGTTAGAAAGGAGTTAGAAATTAAAATGTAAAAAATGTTAAAACCGGAAAGTTACCTAAAATAGAATCGGAGAGCTCTTCTTCCAGGGAGGTTACACACTGCACAGCTGCGTTCAGAACCACGAAGAACAGAAACCGAGCCTGCCACGTTCTCATTTCTCACACAGCTTGTTCCTTTAAGTAATTAATAACAGTTATTATCTTCTTAAGCTAAACCACACGCTGCAGCCGGAGAGAGCGGCTGAGTTCTGGATAATCCGGTGCGTCCTGCTGAGCAGCGCCGAGCTGTCATCTGAACCACTTTGGACCGACTGTGTCTTAAATAGCACTTGTGAGGTTCTGACGAGCCATTGGCTGCAGACCTCCGGGCGGGGAATGGAGAAAAATGTGCAAAGTAAATCATTAGGCGGCCTGGTGGTACTGACTGGAGGTACCAGACAGCCTCGGATGATGTGCGCCGTTTGAGTCAGCGGAAGTAATGCAATTAGCTACATAATTATGGATTTCAGTTTAATATTTTGCAAATGAGTAAATTAAAGCAAAAAACCATGAAATGCACCAAAATCATTGCTTAGGGATCTTCTACTAGAGAGCAGAATTCATGGTTCCATCAGTTACAGCAAGTGGTTGAAGCAGCAAAGCAGCTCCAGACCATCACCAAGTTACACTTTTGGTGTGATGTTCTTTCTCTCAATGTGCTACAGGAGGCCAGCAGCAGAGTAATGCTTTCATGATATCGTGGACAACACTCAACAAATCAGTTGGGAGTTGGACAATTATTCGGTTTACTGATGAAAAATAAACACAAAATGAAATTCCCCTTGGAAAGGAATGTAAATGCGATGACTACATCCAAAACATCTGTGACATCAGTGTTGTTTGAGACAATTCTTCAAAATAAACTTTAAATGTTCACTTATACCTATGCAGTGACTGTCTTTTAAGGTTATTTTATGTAGATACATACAGTGGGACAAAAAATTTAGTCAGCCACCGACTGTGCAAGTTCTCCCACTTAAAATGATGACAGAGGTCAGTAATTTACATCATAGGTACACTTAAACTGTGAGAGACAGAATGTGAAAAAAAATGCATGAATTCACATGGCAGGATTTTTAAAGGATTTATTTGTAAATCAGGGTGGAAAATAAGTATTTGGTCAATAACAAAAATTCAACTCAGTACTTTGTAACATAACCTTTGTTGGCAATAACAGAGGTCAAACGATTACTATAGGTCTTTATCAGGTTTGCACACACAGTAGCTGGTATTTTGGCCCATTCCTCCATGCAGATCTTCTCGAGAGCAGTGATGTTTTGGGGCTGTCGCCGAGCAACACGGACTTTCAACTCCCTCCACAGATTTTCTATGGGGTTGAGGTCTGGAGACTGGCTAGGCCACTCCAGGACTTTCAAATGCTTCTTATGGAGCCACTCCTTTGTTGCCCGGGCGGTGTGTTTGGGATCATTGTTGTGTTGGAAGACCCAGCCACGTTTCATCTTCAAAGCTCTCACTGATGGAAGGAGGTTTTGGCTCAGAATCTCACGATACATAGCCCCATTCATTCTGTCCTTAACATGGATCAGTCGTCCTGTCCCCTTAGCAGAAAAACAGCCCCAAAGCATGATGTTCCCACCCCATGCTTCACGGTAGGTATGGTGTTCTTGGGATGCAACTCAGTATTCTTCTCCTTCCAAACACGACTAGTTGAGTTTATACCAAAAAGTGCTACTTTGGTTTCATCTGACCACATGACATTCTCCCAATCCTCTGCTGTATCATCCATGTGCTCTCTGGCAAACTTCAGACGGGCCTGGACATGCACTGGCTTCAGCATCGGAACACGTCTGGCACTGCAGGATCTGATTCCCTGCAGTTGTAGTGTGTTACTGATGGTGACCTTTGTTACTGTGGTCCCAGCTCTCTGCAGGTCATTCACCAGGTCCCCCCGCGTGGTTCTGGGATTCTTGCTCACCGTTCTCATGATCATTTTGACCCCACGGGATGAGATCTTGCGTGGAGCCCCAGATCGAGGGAGATTATCAGTGGTCTTGTGTGTCTTCCATTTTCTGATGATTGCTCCCACAGTTGATTTTTTCACACCAAGCTGCTTGCCTATTGTAGATTCACTCTTCCCAGTCTGGTGCAGGTCTACAATTCTTTTCCTGGTGTCCTTCGAAAGCTCTTTGTCTTGGCCATAGTGGAGTTTGGAATCTGACTGTTTGAGGCTGTGGACAGGTGTCTTTTATACAGATAATGAGTTCAAACAGGTGCCATTGATACAGGTAACGAGTGGAGGACAGAAAAGTGTCACACGTGCTGGCGAATGAAGCGGAGAAGAGGTGAGGATCCAAAACGGGGTGAGGAAGACAGGCAGATGGGTAGGAACGTTTAACAATCATTTATTTGGAAACACGCTGGACAATGAAACAATGATCTGACACAAGACACAGAACAGAAGGGGTTTAAATACACGAGGGCCGGGACCTAAGGTGATTGGGAAACGAGAGGCAGGTGGGAGCAATTAACGGAGACAGAAGGCTGAACAAAACGGGGTGACAGGACAGGGTGTGACAGTACCCCCCCCCCCCCCCCCCAAAGGGCGGATCCAGGACGCCCACAGGAACAAGGACCAGGGCGGGAGGAGGGGGACCCGGAGGGAGGGCCAAGAGGAACCGAGGGACCAACGGAGAGGAGGCAGGGACCAGCAGAGTCCGGGGGCCTTTGCCTGGGGCAGAGGAGGAGGAGACGACAGGCTCTTGGAGGCCTGCGCCTGGGGCAGAGGAGGAGGCGACGGGCCCTTGGAGGCCTGCGTCTGCAGCAGAGGAGGAGGCGACGGGCCCTTGGAGGCCTGCGTCTGTGGCAGAGGAGGAGGCGACGGACTCTTGGAGGTCTGCGTCTGCGGCAGAGGAGGAGGCAATGGGCTCTTGGAGGCCTGCGTCTGCGGCAGAGGAGGAGGCGACGGGCTCTTGGGGGCCTGCGTCTGCGGCAGTGGAGGAGGCAACGGGCTCTTGGGGGCCTGCGTCTGCGGCAGTGGAGGAGGCGACGGGCTCTTGGGGGCCTGCGTCTGCGGCAGTGGAGGAGGCGACGGGCTCTAGGAGGCCGGCGTTTACGGCAGAGGAGCTCTGCAGGCTGGACCAGGGACAAAGTCTCTGCAGGCTGGACCGGGGACAAAGTCTCTACAGGCTGGACCGGGGACAAAGTCTCTGCAGGCTGGACCGGGGACAAAGCCTCCTGGACGGGCTGGACCGGAGACAAAGCCTCCTGGATGGGCTAGACCGGAGACAAAGCCTCCTGGACGGGCTGGACCAAAGACAAAGCCTCGTGGAAGGGCTGGACCGGAGACAAAGCCTCGTGGAAGGGCTGGACCGGAGACAAAGCCTCGTGGAAGGGCTGGACCGGAGACAAAGCCTCGTGGAAGGGCTGGACAGGAGTCTCGTGGAAGGGCTGGACCAGATACGGTGCGACCTCCGGAACCACCAATGGAACTGGAGACTGCGGAGACGCCGGACTAGAGGGGACGTCGACCTCTGGACACGAAGGAGCGTCGACCTCTGGAGTGGAAAGAGCGTCGACCTCTGGAGTGGAAAGAGCGTCGACTTCAGATGAAGCGCCGACTTCAGATGAGGCGTCGACTTCAGATGAGGCGTCGACTTCAGAGGAGGCGTCGACTTCAGAGGAGGCATTGACTTCAGAGGAGGAGCCGACTTCAGAGGAGGCGTCGACCCTTGGACTGGAAGAGGCGTCAACCCTTGGACTGGAAGAGGCGTCGACCCTTGGACTGGAAGAGGCGTCGACCCTTGGACTGGAAGAGGCGTCGACCTCTGGAGTGGATGAGGCGTCGACTTCAGAACACGAGGAGGCGTCGACTTCAGAACGCGAAGAGGCGTCGACTTCAGAACGCGAAGAGGCATCGACTTCAGAACATGAAGAGGCGTCGACTTCAGAACACAAAGAGGCGTCGACCATATGACTGGAAGGGGCGTCGACCTCCATCGACTTCTGGTCCGGAGGCGTTGACTTCTGGTCCATCGACTTCTGAACCGTCGACTTCTGGACCCTCGACTTCTGGTCTGGGGGTGTCGACTTCCGGTCCGGGGGCGTCGACTTCTGGTGCGGGGGCGTCGACTTCTGAATTGTCTGCTTCTGGACAAGAACCGTCTGCTTTTGGGCCGGAACCGGAACCATTCAATTCAATTCAATTCAGTTCAATTCAAGTTTATTTATATAGCGCCAAATCACGACAAGAGTCGTCTCAAGGCACTTCACATAATAAACATTCCAATTTCATCTGCTTCTGGGCCAGAACCTTCTGCTTCTGGACCGGAACCGTCTGCTTCTGGGCCGGAACCGTCTGCTTCTGGGCCGGAACCGGAACCATCTGCTTCTGGGCCAGAACCGTCTGCTTCTGGGCTGGAACCAGAACCATCTGCTTCTGGGCCCAAACCTTCTGCTTCTGGAGTGGAGACGGAGCCGCAGCGGGAGGGGCTGCCTGGACAGGCTGGATCTGAACTGGTGGTGCTGGAAACCAGGAGAACAGGGAGGACAGACCGTCTAGCTGAAGCTCCTGGAGGCTGAGGGTCCGATGGAGCTGGGCCAGCTCAGCCCGGAGACCGGCGAGCTCCGCTTGGTGGACCTCGGGCTCGCTCCTCTGGCTCTGAGATGAGGGAGCTGCCGGCTGGACCGCGGACCTCTCCTGGCGGTTCGAGGATGATAGAGTGTCCAGGTGGAACTCCTGGAGGCTGACGAGCTGGCGGATCCGGCCAAGTTCCGCCTGGAGACTGACGAGCTCAGTCAGCTGGGCTGAAGGGATTGCTCCTCCGCCTGCAGTTGACAGAGGCACCGATCGGGCCGGAGACTGGACTGCTGATCTGGCCGGGGGCGGGTCCACGCTGCTGCGTCGGGCAGGGGCAGCGGCGAGTCCGCAGCTCCGTCCCGGGACACAAGGCTGCGGTGGAGCTCGGCGTTCTTCCCCACGCCGTGGACCAACTCCGGGGGAACAGACAGCCAGGCTCGTGCCCACGAAACTGGAGCGATCTGGAAGTGGCTCCCGGTCCAACCTCTCCTCTGACTCCGGGAGAGTGGGGAGGAACGCCGTGGCCGAAGGTCGGTGACGGCGTCTTCGGCGAGGTGAAGCTGGAGGAGGAGAGGCCGGCTGGTGATTGGAGGAGAGGAACCGGAGCAGGCACTCCCAGGGTAGAATCTCCCCGCTGGATCCTTTAACGGGTTGGGGTCGGATCATTCTGTCACACGTGCCGGCGAATGAAGTGGAGAAGCGGTGAGGATTCAAAATGGGGTGAGGAAGAC